TTTGTCCCTCCAGCGGGAGCGTAGGGCCGGAAGAGTCACACACTCTTGGATGAACTGAGGATCAAGGCATGACTGTTTGGTGTCTGCCACGTACATTGCCGCAAGTTCAGTGAAAAAACGAGGGTTGGGGGCTATAAGGTGATGAGCCGTCTCAAGTTCCTTACGGTACTCCACCGCCATACCATCCACCTCAAGGTTCCGTTTCTCCCACCAAGAAAGTTCGTCAAAGAGATTGGACTTGTCGAGGTGTCCATACACGTGCTGGGGCGACCAATCCACCGAGGACCGAAGGACCGCTTCCCAAATGGACAATACCAGGTCAAACTGGGCATCAGTTGGAGACAGTGGACGATCTTCAAAAGCCATCTCAATAGCAGAGAGGCCATCGCAAGCAATCCGCACCTTGGGCCCGATCGAAATGTTTGGGAACCATTGCTCAAGGAGCCAATCGACCGCCATTATACCAGCCAACAGACCAATGAGCTCGCTGCAGTATGGACTCTGGTCCTGGGGCAAACCGGGAGTCTGACACCGGATGATGATTCGATGGCATCCTCCATGCTTCGCCAAGATTTGAACCGCCGCGGTCCCCAACTCGTTCTTGAAGGATCCATCGCTGATCACACGCAGGCAACCGTCCAACAAAGCGTCAGCTAAGGTGGTTCGTCACCGTGAACCTCGATCTCATCGGGGACCCACCTGTAATAGTCCGTGCAGAGCTCGGCAGCTGTCTGCCACGCGTGAAGGATGGATGGGCTGGAGGAAGAAGACGGTTCAGAGGCACGGCCAGTACCGGTGAGAAGAACCCTGTCAGATCCTGTGATGGAGTGAACCGTAGCACGAAGAACGTCAGCAGGGAGCTGTGCAGTCCACCACGGGCAGGAAGGAAGGGACGGCCCTGGTGCGTAGCAATGTGACGTGGTGTGGGAGCCCTCAGAGCAAAAGTGTTTCCAGGTTGCCCCATGGCGGTGGAAAAGGCCTGTGGTGGGGGACAGTAACCAATTCCAGTCCTCCAGACGGTCAGTCCATGGCCCCAAGGG